CGTCCTATTTGGGGTTCATCGGTTCATGGAAATCAAAATAAGCCTACGTATGCAACTACCCTTTTTTTATACACACATAGGCCTGTTTACTCTAATAAGAATGACAAAGTTGACATGACTGTTTTCTAGTGAGGGAAAATCTTGAACTTTAAAAGACTTAATTGTCATTAAAATACACCTCAAAAGTCGGAAAATCTCATTTCTCGCCATTAAGGAAACAACATTTTTCCTGGGAGGACCTCGACCCCCTTTTATTTTGAGGTCAATTATTCTAGGAATCATTTTTTCCGACACTTTCTCTTTTGTTTTTATTTTTTTATTTATTTTTTTTTAAACATTTTGACTCCATCCTAAATCCTGTCTCTTATACACATCTAGATGTGTATAAGAGACAGATCAAATCCATAAGTAAATAATAATAGGCCTACCTTCGACTTCTGCTGTGGTATATCCGACTGAATTTCCATCGGAATTGCTGAAATAAATACAACATTAACTTAATACCAATGTGGGTACAATAAAATATAATAATAACAACAGTATTTGTACTACTGTAACCAGTGTAACACTACAGTGTCGAGAGATACAATGATAATCAAGATACCAATTCAAGCTGAATATAAAAGAGTTTATTCGTGAAATGCGTGACCACAAGACGCAGCTTGTTCACGCCGGTACTCCTCCGAGACTCTTCTCCCCCTAGTCTAGTCCTATATTGCGGCCCAGACTATTTCGCGGGAACATCCCATAATCATATATGTACAAAACTTGAAAGATTAAATAACACTACTTACCACTTACCACTTTACCACTACTACCACCACTACTACCACCACCGCCGCCACCGCCGCTGCCGCCGCCGCTGCTGCCGCTGCTACTACTACTATCGCCACCACCACCACCACCTACTAATACTAATCATCATTATTTAAATTAATAAAAGATACAAAGAAAGTTTTATTGAACATCGTTTGTAAGTGAAGTAGTAAAGCAAGTCACAAGAGAAACATAGAAAATGAAAAACAAAATATAGGAGGCCTAACCAAACATTTGTAGACACTTTACCAAGCGCGAGAATTCATCAGCCTATTCCCAATAAAATATAATGACAAAGTCTCTCAAATGATGACTAACGGCCTAAATATCACCAAATAGCTAATTTAAATTAAATGAAACGCAAAATATATCAATTACCGTCATTTGATGCCATGTTTATGTTTTATTTCTTCGTAGAAAAGGGTAGATTTCCTAAATATGAAAAAAAAAAATATGCATATTGGTACATTAATAATCAATACCTATAGACTATTTGGATGTTCTTATTTTAAAATGTTTTTACTAGAAATTGATATGGCACCATGGGACGTTTACATTAAATTTTGATATTTATTCAAAGAAAGAAAAATATAGAATACTAGAAATGAAGTGTAGGCCTAGTGGTAATATTTATATATCAAATTATTGGCTTTCCTACTACTAAGTGTAAATCACAGACCAAGGGTTTGTACCTGAATGAAAGAATAATATTGGCCTTATACGCTTTGAATTAACTACATTCTAACGCCTCAAATGTTATTTTCGGGCGTCTAGAACGCAAAAATTTCGAGGAAGAATGCCCCGGACCCCCTTGAATGGTGTTGCTTCGTCGGCCCAACTTTCGCCACCCCCCCTTTCTTTTTTTGACATCTCTGGATTTGCCCCTGCATGATCTGTCACCTTCGGAAAAAGATATCCTGAAATCCGAAGGAGATAATGATAATGATGATGATGATGATGAAGCCTACAGACGAATCCGAATTTAAATTACATTTACGGTATATTATGGAATTTATATCCACGTAGGCCTACGTAGATATTGTATGTCGATTTTATTTATTTATTCAGGTATAAAATGAAATATACAAAATAGACATACAATAGATTAAACCTGTCACTTCCTTTTCATAAAAATGAGTGTTTCATTAATGCAATTTTCAACATAATTTCAATAAAATGCTAATTATCTTACCTGTTCAATAATCAGATGTGTTAATTTTTATATTTAAAACTAAACTGAACAAATTTTCTTACAAATAAACATATATACGATGTCTTTAACAGCGCAATATTCCTCAGACTTCTGAATCAAAACAATCCTAGCGTTGGTTTTATAGATATGCAAATTATTAATACGTCTGCCAATCTTTGTCGTATATGATCCAGCCGTTAGTAAGTCCTTCCCCCTACCGACCCAACCCCTCTCTCTCTTATAAAATATAGCACATGAACGGATGGAAAACCTACACTCGACCGTATTCTTAAAACAAACTTTAGTCGAACTTCGAACTAGAACTTCATTTAGTGCTAGTTGCATCTTCAACCTCAATTTGTATTCACAACGTAGTCAAAGTTTTAATTATGACTAAATCCAGATGACACGGAACAAGGGGTGTTGCGTTATGGAGAGTAATGTGTGACTGGAAATGTCTGCCAGTTGGTTGTTACCATGCGCCAGTGATGTTGGAGTACAGCAAGATGAAACTATTTATGTAATGCATAAATAAAGTTCGGGATTTGTCGGGTAGTAAAATGATTATTGTACATTTTAAAGTGCTCCCTCCATGCATAAATGTAAGCTAAATTACGGTGAATAATGAGCGAAGATATGGTGACAACTATTACGAAGTTCCCTCTTTTCAAGAG